AAGAACACTGCTGAGGGGAGCAGCGGGAGGGTCAGGAGAGGTCTGCCACACCATGTGGTCACCTCCCAGGCAGGTGGGGATCGAACTCATGCAGAAGTGGCTTAAGATTCTTAGTGCTGTACTTTAACCAGGGAGGGCCCATAGACAACTTTTTAAGAGTGTAAAACATACTTTACTACTTACTTTGTGACGACTGCCAAAATTTTGGATATTGACCTGATGATCTGGAGGTTTGATCTAAAAAACAAAAAAGAAATACAGTACACCATAATGCATATTAACTTTTAAAATGCAAGTTCTATAATAGAAAAATGCTAATCAATAGAACAAAAAATATACAGATAAACCTCAGGGAATTCAATACTTGGGTGTACAATTTTTCAAAAGTTTCTTGTTATATTTAAAAGTTAAGTCTTTTCCCTAACTACTTGATGAAGAAAAAAAAAAATTTCATATAGAACATGGCATGAGGTAAGGGAGACAATGAAAGCTCTGAGTTGTGGACAATTTTAGAAGTTTATCATAATGGATCTTTTTGAATAATTAACATTCATTTTTGCCTAATACTCATTTTCCTTGCAAGTAGTCAATATGTTATCTATTTATTTATTTATTTAAAAGATTTCTTTATTCATACAGAACTGGGGTACAGGCCAGACATGCGGAGGGTGAGAGGATTCACCAGACAGAGTGGGGAGCAGAACAGGCAGATCGAAGAAGTACACTGCTGAGGGGAGCAGCGGGCGGGTCAGGAGAGGTCTGCCCCGCCATGTGGATCTCCTCCAGGGCAGGCGGGAATAGAACTCAGGCGGAAGTGGCTTAAGCTTCTTAGTGCTGTGCTTTAACCCACTGCGCCACCAGGGAGGCCCAATATGTTATATGTTTTAATCTATTCTTTCTAAAACCTTTTCTCACATAAAAATGAAATTATAGCAAATCTGTTTAAAAGTGATCCAACTGCTATTCTGGAAACAGAACTATTTGACACATATAGGTGTGGAGGGAAGATATTTTTGAGCGTCTACTACTATTTACCAAAAAAA